ATAACTAGGTGTAGAGCTGGATGAACACAGCAGGCCAAGCAGCATCTTTTTTCTGAAGAAGGGTCTAGGCCCAAAACGTCAGCTTTCCTGCTCCTCTGATGCTGCTTGGCCTGCTGTGTTCATCCAGCTCTACACCTTGTTATCTAAGCTATTATTTTGTTGATTTGGCGCTTTAGTCAGACTTCAGACATTCTGGGATTAATAATCTTTTAATGAAATTTGGATTTTGATGTGTTCTAATGTTTACAGTATTACAAGAATTCTCTAAAACAATGTTTCAATAATTCAGATTTTCATAAATAATTAAATTTTAAACTTTACTACATAATTGTTGGACTTGGGTGACCTTGTTATTCCCAATCCATTTTTACTTGTCACTCATCCAAGACTTTTTTTTTAAGGTCTCCAGTGATATATGATTTCCTCTACTGCTTACAGAAGTTTTGAATCATGGCAAACATTGTGCTCATAAAACTACAGTCAAAATTAATTTCACTGTACTAACAATTTCACTGAGTGAAATGTATTCATCAGCATTATACTTCTTCATAGAACATCAGATGCCAAGAAGACTTCTGGAAAAATGTCTTCTTAATTATGTAATTGCTCAGGGATGAAATGTACAGCATTCCTATGGAAACAAGAGCTATAGTCAAAGCTATTCTGTATCATCACTACTGTACAACTAAAAGGATTGAAACAGATCAATCGATTATCGATCAAAGAAACTCAATTAATTGTATTAACTGGATTAACTAAAGCATTCAATCATATGTACTTTGTAAGATGATGTACAATGTGAAAAGCTAAGCACAAGCTAACGCGCATTTTTATCACAGTTTAGCGTTTCTAAAATCCCAAGGTGTTTCACAGAGGTGGTATGAAACAAAAACAGATACTGAACCAAAGACGGACATGTTAGGAAGGGTCTCAGAGCAGAGAGGTGAAGTTATGGCTATTAACAGTGGAGCAAATGACATACAGCATAAGTTGACAGAAGGAGGAATTTGCAGTTTCTGGAGGGTTACATGGTTGTGAAAAATTATGGAGACAAGAAGGCCAAACTTGATTTAAGTCAGCAAAAGCAGTAGGAAACAGCCCTTTTAATATTCATTCACAGGATGTGATTTCACTGGCTCAGCCAGTATTTATTGCCTTTCTCCAATCATACACGAGAAGACATGTGGCGAATCAGCTTCTTGAACCACTGAGTGCTAACAGGTCAAGGTATTCCCACAATGCCAACAGGAAGACATTGACAGAATTTTTACCCAATTATAATAAAGGAATAGAAGTTCATTTCTAAATCAGAATGGTGCATGGCTTGGAGAGGAGTTTGGAGGCAGTTGTGGTCCCATACGCCTACTTCCCTTATCCTTCTCGGGAACAGAGTGCTTGGGAGGTGCTGTTGAAGAAAGCTTTGTGGGAGTTAGGAATCAGGCAGTCGAGTTTTGGCTAAGTTTGAGTTTATATGGCGTGAAAGATGGCAGCCTGCCAGATGAGAATTGGAATAGTCAAGAATAAAAGGTGAGAATAAAGATTTCTCCAACTGGATGAGCTGAGGAGTGAAGACGGTCTAAGTGTTAAAGCAAATAATGATCAGAAGGTCAGCTCAGGATCACAAATGACAGGAAAATTGCCGATAGTCTGGTTCACTACAAGTTGTCAACAAGCACAAGAGTGAAGGGTGAGCAAGGTTTTGTACAGAGTAGGATGTGTCGCGTAGAAACATGGTTTCTTCTGAGCCAGTTCCTCAGAACTGAGTTTTGATGTGCTTTCCCTCTGATGTGATTGGCTCTGAGATGGCTGAAAATGAACATTCTTTCTTTTGGTCAATTACAAACCAGGTCTCCCATGAGCCACTGAGATTTTTTTTAACCTAATCAAGTTGATTTGAGACTTTCTAAAGTGTTTCTGTTGTCCTCCTGGGAGTCTCTTGTTGCAACCAAGTTCCAAGTAAAACACTTGTTTAGGAGTTTGATGTCAGGCAGAGATGGTTTTGAGTGATTAGCACCTCAGCGCTGGGCACTTTAGCTCAGGAGAAGATACTGCTGTTGGACTTTCTGTCTTGCCACTGGATTTGGAGGATCATGTGAATCCATGGTTGGTGGTATTTCTTCAGTTCTTTGAGGTGCCTGTGGTAGGTTGTCCAAGTTTCTAAAATGTGTAAAAAATGTAGGATTCACTGCTAGCAGGTAAACCATGACCTTAATCCTTGGGTTTGAGACCTGGTTCTTAATTACTCTTTTCTTCAGTCTGAACTTTGATTTAGAACAATGGAGGTGATGATGGATTTCATTATTCATGTCTACCATTGTTCATAGAACATAGAATAGATCATAGAATCCCTATAGTGTGGAAACAGGCCCTTTGGCCCAACAAGCCCACACCGACTCTTGGAGCATCCCACCCAGACCCATCCCCCTATAACCCACCTAATCTACACATCCCTGAACACTATAGGCAATTTAGCATGGCCAATCCACCTAACCTGCACATCTTTGGACTCTGGGAGGAAACCGGGGCACCTGCAGGAAACCCACGCAGACATGGGGAGAATGCGCAAACTCCACACAGACAGTCGCCCAAGGGTGGAATCGAACCCTGTGAGGCAGCATTGCTAACCACTGAGCCACCATGCCATTTATTGACATATCTTGGGATATGGACATTGTTCTTAATTGATATATGGGTACTCACTCAGAAGATAGTGGCAACTTTTTCCTGAATTCAAGAAGAACCCAACACCCCCGTCTGACCCTCCAACTTTCTTGGACACCCACCTACTCTTCTAACCCAGCTACTCATCTGAAGCCCTGACTATTCTCCAGCTCAAGCCAACTACCCGTGACTTGACCCCAAATAAACCCCAACTCCCCCTGCATCACTTAACATCCAACCAACACCCAAAAAACTTGACCTGCCACCCAAACCCTGACCACACTCCTGTCTGTAGTACTCCCCGGCAAACCTCAACTACTTGTTCCCATGAGCCACCCAACTGCTTCACTGATCCCTCCCAATCTGATCTGCCTACTCTCAGATCCTGCAACTAACCCCCAATCTGACCTTACTATCCCCAATGACCTGATGAACACTATGACTGCCCAATTTCCTCCCCAGCCTGATCCAACTAACTCCAGACATGAATACCCTACTGACTAGACAACTACCTCCTACCCAATTAGCCTCCTGACCTTTGGCCCCTCTAAACTGACCTGACTACCCCCACACCATGGGACTACCCACCCCCCCCAACACCCCCAACCCCATCTCTCTGATCCAAACCCTATCTAACTAACCTCACCAATCAAATACCCCCACCCACTTACTCACCTGCCACTGAAGCTCCCCACCACCCGTCTTTCACCCTCCTTCCTTCCCATCTGCCTCTTACATGACCAGCAATCCAGAGGAAGCCAAAGAAAATGCTACAAAATCCATTTGAAGCTCCCCTTGAAGCCTGGCAGCATAGATCTTAATGACTGGGAGCAGCTTACAACCGATCTTTCAACAACCTGCACCTACTTTGAGTTCAAATGCTTTGATGATGATGCAAAGCAGTAAAAGAGAAGAAAAGGCAGCAAACCCTCCACCCTGGAAACCCACTATCTTGTGGGATGCCATACCCCATGAGTCCAAAGACATGTAGGTTGAAGATCAACCTGTCGAGGAAGACCGATGACTCTTGTCCTGAGGAAATAACATTCCTGAATTGAGGGACAGTTCATGACAATGACAATGCAATTCACCTCTTATTGACCTACAATGGTTCTGATTCCCTCCAGCTCTCAAATTCCTCAGTACTAATCATAGTTTTAAATATGCCTCCATGACCTCACATATCCCTAAGTAACTTTCTATCCCCTGCCTCTCCCTGGAAAAGATTTTGTTGTACCAACTCTGTCCTCCTGTGGATTTCCGCCTCCCTTGACTCCCCTGTTGCAGACTGGACCTACACTCTACCTGGCTCCCTCTCTTCCCTCCTTAAAATCCACCTCTGACTGAGCTTTTTGTTGCACCTTCTCATATTTTCTCCGGCTGAACATCCGATCTGTTTGTCTGCACTTCCATAAAAAGAAACCTGCTTGTTCCTTTCTACCTGAAAGGTCAGATCTCGAAGACAACAGTCAAAAATTACATCTTACTCTTACTTTCCAATTTTTATTCAAACCCGTGACTTAAACACTGAAACAAAACGAAGAACTCTGGATGCTGGAGATCTGAAACAAAAACTTAAATTGCTGGAAAAACGCAGCAGGTTTGTGGACAGAAAGCAGAGCTAACGTTTCCATTCTAGTGACTCTTCTTCAGAACTAGTGAATTAAACACTCATGATTTAAACACCCCTTAGTAGATGAGTACATCAATAACAGGCCCCAGATGTGTGTTTTTATTACACTCCAACTGACACAGCATTTGCATTTTGCTCTAAGGGACCTTCAAATCAATTCTATTAAAACAGTTTAACCAACCACAGAGGAATGTAAAGATTACAAGTGTTCCTGTCCAGTGGATGCGTTTGTTGAGTGTGGAGCTGAGCTGTAAGTTAGGACAGGGAGAGTTAAAGAGGAGTTAACTGCAGGGCTCCGAGTGACGCAGAGAGCCAGGTTCATGCTGCTCCGTGGAGTTACATCTCCAGCCATGTGCAAGCTGCCGCCTGCCCAGGACAACATGTATCTCAACAGCTCGGAGAACCTGACAGCATCCGACTCCCCGTCCAGCCTTAGGGCGAGGGATGAGCTGATGCTCACCTCGGCTTTCGGCACCGTGCTCTCCTTTATGTGTGTGACCGGGGTGGCGGGCAATGTCTACACGCTGGTACTGATGTGCCAGTCCATGCGCTCGGCCGCCTCCATGTACATCTACATCGTGAGCCTGGCGCTGGCGGACCTGCTCTACCTCTCCACCATCCCCTTCATCGTCTGCACCTACTTCGCCAAGAGCTGGTACTTCGGGGACCTGGGTTGCCGGCTGCTGCTCAGCCTTGACCTGCTCACCATGCACGCCAGCATCTTCACCCTGACCGTGATGTGCACCGAGCGCTACCTAGCCGTGGTCAACCCCCTGGCCATGGTCAAGCGCTCCAAAGGTTACAGGAAAGCGATGGCCGGGGCGGTGTGGTTGCTCAGCTTGTCCCTAACGCTGCCCGTGACCAGCATGGTCAACCTGCAGGAGACCCGGAAGGAGAACGGCAGCGTCCGCAGAATGTGCGCCCCAACCTGGACTGGCCAGACCTACACCATTTACCTGACGGTGCTGTTCAACACCAGCATCGTAGCGCCCGGGGTGATCATCGGCTTCCTGTACACCCAGTTAGCACGGACCTACCTGCAGTCCGAGAAGAACACTCTGTCCAAGAGAGGCAACAGCAGGTCATCCAAGCAGCGAGTGGTCCTCATGATATTCGGCATCGTGGTAGTTTTCTGGGCGTGCTTCCTACCTTTCTGGGTTTGGCAGCTCATCCGCCTCTATTGCAAATCCCTAAAGCTGACTCGGCGGACAGTAACTTGTATCAACTACCTGATGACCTGCCTGACCTACAGCAACAGCTGTATTAACCCTTTCCTGTACACGCTGCTCACCAAGAACTACAAGGAGTACCTGAAAAGTAGGCAGAGGCACTTTCAAAGATCAGCATCCGCATCCTTTAAAAGGAACGCCAGCCTGCGACCATCCCTAAAATCCATCTCCTCCTGTAACCAGTACAGCAACTCCTCCGAATCAATAGCCATGGTTCATTTGAAAGAGTCGAAATGACTCTGTTTAGAATGACAAACAGAAATGTGCTGGAACGCTCAGGTAAGTAAGCAGCTTTAATTCAACTTCAGGCTCGGTTGTCGCGCCTTTTAATACTGTACAGGAATGGAGGAGAGATGCAGAATTCCAGACAATAAATACAACAGCAAAAAAAAAGCAACACAGAACTCGAAGGGTTATTTTTCTAAGTATTTCTGTATCTCGTTTCAAATGACGAAATGGAAGGTTTATAGTAAGGACTGAGCACGTTTTTGTTAGAAATGCAATTTCTGAAGATTGAAACATGATCAAATTGAAGAGATATCTTTTGCTGCAGCTCATCCAAAATCCCACATCAATGAACTGGCACTTTGAAGAGAATTTCTCTGTAACATGTTCATTAACACTTGTCTATCTTTACTGGATGAAAACAATGCTAAATAAAGTCACTCAGTCCCCAAACTTGGCATTTTGCCCTTAAACCAAGTCCATCTTTTGATTAAAACAAATCATAAATAGTGAAAAGAAAATTCCACTCTAAATGTATCTTTCTTTGAAATGGACTTTTCCTGCACCCAATATCTAGGCTGTCTTGTGCTATATCCTTCACTAATCAATACTCGTTAATGTACTTTGTTCTTGGAGCAAAGCAAAATATCAAGCATCAGTCAGATGGTTTAAGATTTGTATCTGTCAAAAAATTCAGCCAAGAACAAAATGAGATTGGCAACTTAATTTCAAATTATGTTTTCATTGCTGCTAAGCTGCAGTAATGTGAAGCCACCTACTTAAAACTATTTGCAGGGATCATGCATGTTCAGATTGCAGTAAAATTTTGATTAACTTCACCCGAATGTGTGTACTCATTTGATCTCTTTCATTATTTTCAGCCTCAAATGATTACAGTTTACTTTAGCTAAAGGCAAATTATCTGTCCCAGTAATATGAACAATATGTTCTCAGAACATTTATTTCCATCACAGTTGAGAAATTTCACTTTACAACAATTTTTCCATGATAATCCAATTTTAGAAACATTTCCACAAATAATCTGATTATATAAATATTAAAGTCCACACTACAAGTAATTTTCTTTTTCATATTTTATCATGAGATCAAAACCTCTAAAATAATGAGGAAGGGTTCTGAGGAAGGTCACTTAACCTGAAACGTTAACTCTGATTTCTCTCCACAGGTGCTGCCAGACCTGCTGAGCTTTTCCAGCAATTTCCGTTTTTTGTCTCTAAAATGAGTCTTCATAAATAGTATTTTGTGCATATTTTCCTAATATCCTCTTATGATTCCCACAAGTGGGTTATAATTTCCAGAGGGTAACACGGCAGAAAGATTGTGGCCATTGAAGGAAAACTTACATGTTAAAATTCAGATGCAGGTTCTGCACTATTCAATAAAAATATAGTGGATATGATGTAATCGATATAAAATAATGAAATGTGTGTTTTGTGACTGGGGAGGCTATTGGTAAAAAGCCACATGATGTTTTTGTTTGAAGAATAATTTGAAATGCAAGTCTATGATTTGATGGAAAACTAACATCAGTTCTGAGTGGGAAAGAATTCTGAAGCACTATATCACTAAGATGTTTTTACTCTACCTAATAGCATACATATTTTAAAATAAACAATTGATAATAGAAATAACATGAAGGAAAGGTGTCAACCTGTGACCTACACTAAAGATTTTTGCACAAATTATCACTGTCATCAAAAATGTATTTCTAACATTTAAAGAAGCATCTAAAAATAGGCAATATTTTCATATTATATTCAGGCTCCAGCTTAAGAAAATGTATTATCCCCGGGAAGGTTGGTCAAGGTTTCAAAAGCCAAACTGTCAAGTTTTATTACTAATTGAGGCCAGAACATATAAGCAGATTGCTTTAAAAAGGTGAGTATTCAAAGCTCACATACCCTGGGTGACAAGAGAGATAAAAGTTTTAAGGAAAACTGGAAAAAGCAGTCAATTGATAACCAGGTTGTAATTGTTATGGAAAGTACAGGAGGAAATTGTAAAAACGGATAAAGCAAAGAGAGATTACGAGAAAATAATCAAGAGTAAACATTAAATTGAACCCCAAAACGTTTTATATTACATGTATGTAAGCACTGGTTAGGGGAAACATTGGCCCTAAAATGAGAAAGAAGCATAAGGCATGAGTACCAAGCTGACAGTCTACACAGCAATAGTGATACCTGCCATCCTATATGTCTCAGAGGCGTAGAATATGTACAGCAGATACCTCAAGATCATGCAGAGGCACCTTGAGAAGGCACCACTACAGCTGCCCCTGGAATATCCTGTAAATCCATTGGCAGGATCGATGCACAAACAACAATGTTCTTGCTCATACTAATGTCCCAGCATCAAAACACTAACCACGCCCAGTCAACTCCACTGGATTAGGCCACATCATCCATATGCTTGGCGCAAGATTCGCAAAACAAGCTGTACTCTTGGAATTTCGACATGACAAGCATGAAGCAGAATAAATGCTTCACGGATGCTCTCAAAGGCTCCTTGAAAAAGTACAATATCCCCAATGACACCTAGGAAACCTTACACCAAGATCAACCAAAGTGGAGGGAAGGAGTCTGTACACCGAGTTTCTCTGTCAATAACAAAGCTGAACTCTGGGGTTGACAAAGAAAGGATTGTATGGCAACTGGGAATTTAACCCTTCCTTTCCCTGCCCACTGTCTTCCCTGTCTATGACCAAGATCATAGGTCATGCATTAGATTCTTCAGTCACCTGAGGACTCACTTTTAGCATGGAAGCAAGTAACCTCAAGTTAGTAAGCATTTAAGCCTGCCGAAGAGAGGAAGTGATGATGATAATTATAGACTTCAGGATGACAAGCTGAAAGTGGCAGAAGCATGGCAGCTGGAGATCAATGCAAAGAAGTGAAAAGCAATTTACGTTGTGAGAACTAACAGGAAAAGCCAGCATGCTACAAATTGTATGATTTTAAAAAGTATGATGAACAGAGAAACCTTAATGACCTTCTACACAAATCATTAAAATGGGCAGGGCAGATGGATGCAAGTGGTTTAAAATAAATGAGTCACTAGGGTTTATAAATAGAGACATAGATTATGAGAAATAAAGAGGAATCTAAAGCAGTAATGGTGATCATGAAACTCTCATTGATTGTTGTAAACACCCATTGCTTTACTATCATTCTGAAGGGAAAGGTATCTATTATCTTTACTAACATGTGATTGCAGATCCACAGAAATGTGATTAACTCTTAAGTGCTGTCAAGGGCACAGCCAACAAATTCTGGCCCTTTTCCAGTGATTCCCAAACCTATCAAATAATTAAAAACAAAATCATGATTAGGCCTGGCTAGCCGTAGCTTCAGCATTGGTGACAATTCTGAAACCACAGTCTGGAAAGTCACAATATCCTGAGAAAGGTCAGTGGAGGGCTTAAAAAGACTTGCATTTATAAAAGGACCTTCAATCACCTTAGGACATTCCAAAATGCTTCACAGCAGTTGAAGTGTAGTTCTTATTGTAATGTAAGAAATACAGCTTAGTTTACGCATAGCAAGTATCCACAAACAACAGATTGACAGAGAAATAGGAATTAACAAAGAATGTTTATGACACAGCAAAAGGTGAGAATTCCGATGACAATGTTGCACAAAAGTATCCGAAGATGTAGAACTTTGATTCTGGAGCTAGATTCTTATTGTCAAATTGAACTTGAAACCATTATTCCCATTGGAACATATTCACTGCAGAATTCATAATTAAGACTTAATGCCAAAAATAACACTACACACACAAGAACTTAAAAGGTTAAAAGGAGGAGAACAATAACAAAATCTAAGAGGTTTTTCAAAAAAAAAATTGAAGTATGGATTTAGAAGTGGTGAGACTAGGTAGAAGCATTGAAGAAATCAGATGAAGTTACATTTATTGAATTAATTCTGCACGAGTGAAGAACACCAGTTGTGTCAGTCCATTTATTCAAAATTAAGGAACTAGACAATATCCAAAAAAATCCTGTACCAATAAAACAGAGAGACTAAGAAATAATAAATGGAACTTAACAGAATAAATTGAATTGTTATGTGTTTGTTTTAGACCAGCATAGACTTGATGGGCTGAAGGGCCTTTTTCTATGTTGTAGATGTATATGTCTCTAAATGGGTGGTAAAAGCCCAGAAAATGCTAGAAGGGGGGATCTTAAGGTTGCACCAGAATTTGGATTCATTTCCTCTCGCATTTCAGCTCAAAGAATTTTTGCATTATAAATTGCCCAAGTATGAATTGCCTAATTGTGAATAATAATGGTACAACAAAATTAATGGGGCATTTGGGACATTGGTGAAAAAGGCTACCTGGCCCATCGTGTCTGATGACCTAAAAATAAGCCACTCAGCCTAATCCAACTTTCCAGTATTTAGTCCAGAGCTCTGTCGGTTATGACACTTGATAAAGTAGAATAAGTGTGCTTCTGACACATATCAGGTGAAGAATATGTTTGAAAATCTGATTGACTACAGAAGGATGGTGAAAAAAATATAAATAAGAGAAGCGACAAGCAAGTATAGAAAGAGGTTGAGATAACAAGGTGTAGAGCTAGATGAACACAGCAGGCCAAGCAGCATCATAGGAGCAGGAAGGCTGACGTTTCGGGCCTAGACCCTTCTTCAGAAATGGGGGAGGGGAAGGGGGTTCTGAAATAAATAGGGAGAGAGGGGGAGGCGGATAGAAGATGGATAGAGGTTGGCAGCTAACATAATGATATCCCAAAATCTTCCATAGGCATACAAATAGCAAAAGGAGGAGTGGGGCTGATTTAGTGACAAAGGAGGGGAAGCAATGGGCATGGCTGAAGTTTTTGCATCTTACCAAAGATGAAGGTGCAATGCAGGCCATGGAAAATGCAGGGTTAATTCAATAGCTACAAGTGTGTACAATTGACAAATTAGGGTATTGGATCATAAGTTATTGGATAGGTTGTCTGTGCTTAAAGTTTAAAGGCACCA